TTACAACAGTCCAACCAACAATTAAAAATCATGTTACAACTATTACAAGATACATCTACCTCACCCTAATAATATAAATAATGTCGACCAAACAATATTCAGCAGTGAAGAACATCCACACGATTTTTTTCACCAATAAATGATATTACCCTGGTGACACTGCAAAATGTCTTATGAATATCCATTTGGCGGTACATTGAAATCCACCACAAAACTCAGAATCAATTATGGTATAAACCTAGGGATATAAATTGTGGTATAAGACTCAAGACATAAACTGGGGTATTAAGCCTCGGGGTATAAACTGTGGTAAAAGATTCAGGGTATATAAACTCAGGTGGCGGTGAGCAAAAGAGGTGTGTATATTGCATCTCACGTAACACCCCCACACGGTACAACACACAAAATTCGCAGAACCAAAAGGCACGACTCTAAGCACCTTGTATACCGTTATATTTCACCAGTGCAAGATATTATATGGACTGTGAAAAAAAAGTATTCCCAAAATATGAGGGGGTAGTACATCACAACACAACGGGCTCTCAACTGTCGATCCTACGTCAACTAGTTTGACACTAATGAGGTCGAGCAGGAAACTGGCTACTGCATCACACAAACAAATCGGTAAAGGTGTAGATAACGGCTACCACCAGAAAGAACAAATCTAATAATACACGCAGACACACACTTATGATCACAGATATTAAGTAACATCACACCATATTCCATGTTACATCAACCTCAGGTGACAGAACACAAAAACTTCTACAGCAAAGGAAAGCTGAAGTAAGTACGATTATCGAGTGGAATTTGTTGGCATGCACTACCCCGTCACTAAGAAACACATACCTCAGCACATTAGAGCAGCACATTCCAGGGGTGGCGACACTGACGGGTTGGTGAGTGTCCCAGGAAGAGGGCGAGGAAGGAAGGAACAAGGGAGAGAGAGGCGCAGCACACACCGTGGCGGGGCGGACAACACTACTGCCACTGAGTCAGTCAGAGTTGTATCAGGCAGTGGCACCAACCTCGCTCCCGCAACTCTATTAATTATTGATGGTGTTGCCCCCTCCCCCGCCACTACCTCGCAGCCACCGGCCCACCCACCATTATTACCGCACACTGTTACTAAACTATTGTAGGTAAGTACTAAAAGCAGTTAGGTAGTTTTGTATTGTAAATGTCTAGATCCGCCACTGGATTTTTTTACTTTTATCCTCTTCACCTCTTCGCCAGCTCCAAGTAAGGACACTCGACTGAGTAGTGCCCCTTGAGAAGCTTATACACCTCAATTAGGTCGCCCCTTGCCCGTCTGTAGTATAAGCTAGGCAAGTTCAAGTACTCCAATCTCTCAGGGTAGTTGAGGTGCCGAAGTGCAGGCACCAATCTGGTGGCCCTCCTTTGAACATTTTCAACCAACTGACAGTCCTATTTTTCCAATATGTTATATTATATGATACACAAATATTCACCAAATGACTTTCGAGAAACATAACCCATTCGTATAACATGAGATATTCGTATTGCATGAGATACCAGTAGATCACATGACAAGTGAATATTCATACTACATACTACATCCTTGACCACCGAAGGGTCAAGACGTACCTGGCACTCCTCTCGGAGCAGCCAGATCAACTGTTAAGTTGGCCCATACCAACCCCTTCCCCTGAACCCTCCTCCCCACCGGAATATCAACAAGTTCTCGCCAGAAGTTACAATTTCATTTAGGAAAGGAATGGAACCAGTGTTAAACAGAGGTGAACAGTGGTGAATAGTGCTTAAGTCAGTGAGAACAACTCAACAGTAACAGTCGTACCCAAGTTAACCTTCACACAGTGAGGTCCCAGGTACCCAGTGATAACGGCCCGTGAGACCCAACAACAACCAGCGATGTGTTAATCCGTCTACGATAGGAAGGCCTGGGACCAAACCTCACTCATATAACACCATCTGTGAAGGAATTACTACACCACGTGAGGCCCCCTCATAGCACCATCTGTGAGGGAATTACTACACCACGTCAGGTCCCTCATAACACCATCTGTGAGGGAATTACTACACCACGTGAGGACCCTCATAACACCATCTGTGAGGTAATTACACCACGTAAGGTCCCCCATAACACCATCTGTGAGGGTATTACTACACCACGTGGTCCCTCATAACACCATCTGCGAGGGAATTACTACACCACGTGAGGTCCCTCATAACACCATCTGAGGGAACTACTACATCACGTGAGGTCCCTCCTAACACCATCTGGGAGGGAGTTACTACACTACGTGTTTGCTGTTCAACACGTACAATCCTACATTAATCTGTATGTTCCTTTACCTCTCTCTAATGAAGGCTTTTGTTAAACCACCAATGTATGTAATAAGTCATTTATGTCCAAAGTATATTTTCAGCCTTCGGGCTGCAGAACTTTTTCAATAAACCGTTAATTATTATTATTATTATTATTACCAGAGTACACTTGCATTCACCCAAAAGATTTCTTGAGTTTATTTTGATAATAGACAGATTTTTCTATATGACTTTGCTTGGGAGATTGGTATCCCCGCATCCCCTGAGCAACGCTCTTGTGCATTATGCAGAAGACCCGACAGCAGCACCCTTATCCACTACCTCCTAAGATGTCCCCACACACAACGCTTCCTTGACGCCTGCTGGACCACCACTCCACGACCCCCTGACGGAGACACGATGATCCTCCCCATAGTGGCCAGATATTATGTAAATAACATTGATTATGTGTTAAAGGAATATCCTTCCTTCCTTAGGCTTTAGTAAGCCCCTTTATAATATTTATACTGTATATACTTGTCACACTTGCCAGATGCTTCTGGTGTTATTGTACAGGGGTACCTAGTGACAGCACTAGGATCCCGCTTCCTCTATCAAGGAATAAACAATTGAAATTGAAAATTGAATTGATGTTTTCTAGAACTGTCCCTTCCCGAATATCTCATTAAGCTTACCTTCGGAAGTTACTGGTGGTGGCTGTCACGTTATGCTGTATGCTTACAGCATTCCATATATTTAAGTAAAGAATCAATGGCAGGATGCAGGTTATCCAATAGGTTCACCTGATGCACCTTCAGTGATAGTTCAAGACATTATTACTTTTTGCTTAATGAAAACTGCTTTCAAGAACTAGCAATAACCGTAATCCGGCATATGTGAGGGAAACGTCATAGTAGAAAAGTGTCTTGGAATTATCTAAACTATCAATTTTATTTTTATGCCTAGTTTTTGGTCAAGTAATATCCAATAGATTAATATTTGCAAATGCGTCTTTAAATCTTGCTGTAAACACATTTACAAGTTCTTTATACATAATTAAATTAGAAATTGGATCCTAGCAGCCTGACTGCTCATTAGGGGCAGTACGGTATTGTTGGCAGCCATGTTGTACAGTGTTTGTTACAGTATTTACAAGATCGTGCAGTTCCAGGATTTTATAAGGGAGTTAGGATTTTGATGAACTTAGTGTCATCTTGTATATTTTTAACCCTGTGCTCGCCAGCAGATTGACTGTACATTACTGTATTTGATAATAGACACAAGGACAACCATAGGCACGGTATACTTAGGAACTATTCAATATATATTCTTATATTCCTTGCAATATAATAAATAACTAAATGACTATGAGCATGTAGTTGATATTTGAGTCAAGTGACGCATCAGGAGGTCATTTATGAAAAAAAATCATGAACAATGTATACTATAATTTAAATTTGGGAAGAAAAAGGCAGGGTAGAGGTGACCTCAGTTGGCCTAATGCAAAGCTTGACCTTACCTCGCCACCTTTACTAGTTTGTGAAAGGGTATATAAATTAAAATTGTGAATAAATCATTGTAATACATTGTGTAAGTAACTTGTGGTAGCAGCTTCATAATAACTGTTAGTTTAAATTATTCATATAAGTTCTAAACAGTATTACATTCACAATCCCAGGTTAATTTGTACAGAAAAAAGAAGTGGTGTGTGCAAAATTATGAGGCTGATGCATATATTTACTGAAATATATACAGTAACTGAACAATGGACTCACACTGTGACTATTCTTCAGAGTGGCATTAACTACAGTACTAATATATTTTGTACTTCAATAGTCCCTATCGTGATGTGGGTGACCTTGCAAGCACAACACACTGTTCAGCACTGTACTTACCTTCATCCAAAGGTTACCAATTCACAGTTGGTTGGTTCTGGGGTGCCTCAGGATCGAATCCATTACAATATCATTAGGACAGGAAGCCAGTGCTCTGTCCACTCTGCTACCACACCCCTTGGTTAGATTAATGGCTTGTTTAACCATACACAATTGAGTTGAGCTTAATTTTAGTTTGGAGTACCTGTACATACTTTCTCTCTTTTTTTTAATATAATTTTCACCACTTATCAGTTTAGCAGTTGTTTGGGCTGTTGGTCTATCCAGTGTTAGTACAGAAGGAGACCGGGAAACCTGTGATGTTTGGGAGACTCACACTGAATAACACCCTTCTCCCGTGTATCTGGGCCAGGGCTCAAACCCTTGACATATTCGTGAGTTACATGCATTACCAGGATTTTACTACTGTACTACCAACACTCATATTATTCTCTGCACTTGATTTTTCACGGCATTTTGGTATTCCCTCGGACCTAGAAGAATTGTCAAGATCTTTAGCGTGTGTAAAAAAATGGTCAAGAGTTCAATGAGGCTCAAGAGGCAGAAAGTAGGAAGTCAGGAAGAAAGAAAAATCTATCTTTGTAGCTATATTGAGCCCAACTGGACTACATTTAGAAGCTTTGGGCCAATGGCAAGTTATTTCAAAGAACATATACCGGTAAACAAACACTGATTAATCCGTACCTTCACTTTGTTCTGCTGTGCTATAATAAAAATAATCATAATGTTGATTGTAAATTGAAGTGTCGTAAATCTGGTCCCAAATATTTGAAGTACAGAAACAATAATATTCCCAAGAGGTAATAATACTTCACATCTGCTAAACATTTGTATTAAAATCATTCATTCATACACAAGTGTATCATCTCTACTGTAGCAGGACACCTGTTGAGCCAGGTTGGTCATTGTTGTTACTAAAACCAAAAGTAGCACTCTGCATTCTTATTGGTTCTCACCAGGTTAGTTCCTGCATTCTTATTGGTTCTCACCTGGTTAGGTCCTTCATTCTCATTGGTTCTCACCTGGTTAGTCCTTCACAAAGTACTCTTCACAGCACAGCTCACAATCAACTGCATGACAGCAGAAAAAAAATATTAAAAAAAATTTAAGTTGATTTTCTAAACACTTTTACTAAATTAAAAAAAAAACCATACTTATGAAGACTGTAAACCAACACTGTGCATAAAACTAATTCATAAGAATATGCTGTGATACAATGGGTAGAAACCTATCCAATAGACATACAGTACATTTTGTACAAAAATACAATTCAGATGAAGAATTTGAATTAACAGCTAAATTTCCTGTGAAATATGAAATTAAATACAAAGTATGAAGAAGTTTAAATTATATCACAAATCAAAATGGTTACATTCCACTGCCAAGATCATATCATCGACATTATATAAACTGCTGTAAATTTTATTCTAAACTATTATTTGACTGGTTTAATAGGCATAAAAAGTGTTGAAGCATTTTTTACTTTTCATTCAACCAGACTCAAAAGACAAATTATGTAAGACAGTTCTTGTGCAAAAAATGGGCAAGTACTTGAGACTATAAAAGCTGCTTCATTAAAACACTTAAACAATGAATACTAAGGTCAGAATTGTCAAATCTTTCTTGAAGTTCAGTAACGATGAGAATATAGGTCTTACTCATCATTATTTCCAACTGCCTCATTGAGATGAAAGGTGAGGCTAACAGGCATACAAAATGAGTGAGTCTTTATTAATTCATCACCAAACATCAAGTATCAACTTTGAATTCTGTCCCAAATATGCTAAAAATTCATCCCTATTTACATATTTTGAGGTCATATATTTACCAGATTTCCTTCTTATGTAACCATTAGGAATATAAGACATATACATAACCTTGAACACATGTACAAACCTCAAACATGTACATAAACTATTAATTAATACTGTACAGCATAATTACAAGTGTTTTAATGGGAAGCCAAGAAGAATAACATGGCACATAAAGCATATAACAAAGAATATCAGATAAAGTCTACAGAATATGAACTTCCAAAAGTCATCTATAAGCTAAAGGACTGCTGACTAAAAACGTTGAATATAGTTATTCTATATAAAACTACTAAACTATAATATTTAGTAGTAAAAGCTTACAGCCAACAATCCAGTAAGAATGCATGACCCAGGAAGGTGTTCTTATAGATTGTAAATCATGTTTTGAATCTTAATAAATTTTCTGAACCATCAAAAAGTTCTATTGAGCAAAGATATATTATGTAATATTATCTGCTAAAAATTTCACAATTTCAGATCTAGACACAAAAATACCTAATATAAATACAGTACAATACATTTGAAACAAAATCACCCAAGCTTATAAAAACATATTACATATTTTGTTTAATTCAGTTACTATGAAGGATAAATTATATAAGGATATTTTACCTTAGACCAACAATTAAAAATCTATGTAACAGTGTCTAAACCCAATGATTGCTCTGTTAGCATCTGATGAAAAGTGCATTACTCAGGAGGTATCTAGTAATGATGGAGGAGAGTGAGGAAAATATATTTCTGATTATAAACTCTGCATGGAATATGAGAATTAACTTTTCAAAGTTACAATATATCAATGAACAGTAAACCCTCATTTTATTTCACTATCAATTCTCTTATACAGTAAATATCCTAAAAACTGAAACTGATCACTAAAACAGGTCAATGCCTATAATGTTACACATGAGATCTAAAACATTCCTCCAGAAATAAATGTATACTATATACAGTACTGTATATATATAATACTCGTATATATATTTATAGTAAAAAGTTCGATAATATGTTTTTTCAGGCATAGTTATGATATGACAACTTGGTAATCTTGGTAATTTTGATGGAATATAATGAAAGGTGTTGAACAAAGTGAGTAGAGAGAGCAAAACACAACAAGTATGCAGCTTAAATCTTTACATATACTGTAGTACAGCGCAGTATACTGTATTGGATTTCTTCTAGATGAGGAACTTGATTTGCTCATCCTTTTTACCGATCACACAGATACTCAGTAGTGTACCAGTGACATGTACTCAAACAGTCTAATGGCCATAATTGATCACAGTGTCATGTAAAAAGAAAGTTTGTACTGATGAGGAATAAATCAGAACTTTACCCAATTAAATTGAGTTAGAGAGCGCAGACGTTGGATCACATCTACAGTTCGAAAGTTAGATGTATCCAGTACTAGGGTCATTTTGTGACAAATTTTAATAAAAAAAAAAAAATGTTTACTCTAAAATGACACATCTACATGTAAAGAAGCCAAGATATTAAGCGAAGGAAAAATTTAACTCATAAAACCTGGTACTGTGGTACTGCTAACAGTTATCACAATTCTACAAAATTGTAATGAATAAATTAATCCCTTTTACTACAAAAAAGAAATGTGTCTTGTACTACCAACTTCAACATATTATTCCTATTGCATTTGCCTGTACTGGAAATGAATGCCAACTTAAGAGATTCAAAGAGAGCCATATACAGTACAGTACTACAAAATTCAACAAAGGGGAAATCTTTCTTTATTGATGATGTAACTACGTCCGTGTGAAGCAAACAAGTCTTGTGAACTCGCACCTGGCTTTGCCGAGTCTCAAAATTATGATATAAAATTTATTGGAAAATCTTTTGCCCATAACACCAATATTTCCCTATAATTCAACAGTTCATCCAACTTTAGTACAGTACCTCTATAACAAACTACAGTACATCATATTTTCCAACTGCTGCTTTGACTTGAATTTAAACATACAACTTCCACTAAATCTAGATAATTTGAAATATATAGGTACTGATTGTAATGATAATATACAGAACAAAACCACTGTATGAGATTCCCAATAAACAATTTTACACAGAACATCATGGCAAATATTTACTGATTGCCACAGTGACTAGAAAATAAAATTCTCCATTTCATTTAAAGTAAATACCTGGTAATCATTGACCATTTACTGTTCATCCAATCCTTATAGCAAATCAGAAGTTTCTTTTTCATTCGGTAGTAAACATCTCCATAAATGTGAAACAATACGGTAATTTGGATATCACTTAACAGGAATACTGTACACTAAATGTACCTGAAATGGCTGCATTAAAATGAAATCTGACCATGTACTGAGAATCCAATTTTGAAAATGTGAGGTGAAGAGGAAGAGAATATGTATATCACTCATGACCATTTTACAAGGGTGTACTGTCTTCATCTATAATGGTTAGCAATAGTCCAGAGCTTCACCATGAAAGACACCACCTCCACGCACAACACCATGTTAACGTGATCATCTGTTGAAGACTGAATCTGCATCCCCAGGTTATCAAAGCCATGTTTCTCATCTACCATCACACAGCTTCATTCAGTAATGTGCAGTACAGTGATACAAAATTCACAGCAAAGGTAATTAACTATCAGTTTTTCTATTTTGATCAATTCGATAATATTTTGCTTCTTCCATATCATGCAAACATATTTTCTTTTGCGGATCATCTTTCCTAAACATTGTGGTACTTGACTGTTAGTTAGATTACAGCACAAGTTAAATCTTTGTTACTGCTTATACATTATTTTGCTTCTTTTTATATAAATTCCTGAGCATGAGTGTACTGTAACATGGACTTAGAATTTGTCAATTTGATCTGATCAAAATTATCAGAAATACCATTGGGTATATCACTGACATACTACACACAATAATGAAGTATTGGATGACAGAACTATAAGTATATGCCAAGTATAAGTTATTGCTACTTCATGTGTTATTGTTATGATGATTGCCAAATTTACCATCTAAGAATTTATTGTCTAATGTAATAAGATTAACCGATATCATCAATATGCAGAAAAAAACATATGGAACTTCAGTTTTTTCTCTTGCACCTAAAGTCCATTCCATTCTATCAAGCTTATAAATTTTCCCCTATTTTCCTGTATAATACCATACAGTGAATTAGGTAAAATGGTTAGAATTATTCCAACATCCTGTAATTAATAATAATAATAATAATAAAAAACATATTTCAGACCACAGGCATTTACCAAGTATATATTTTGTTGTATGTCCAAGGCTGACCTGTGTGCTGCATGTTGACAAAGTGGTGACTTTGTAGAGGCAACAGGGAAACACCTTGTTTGTAAGAATTGAGAGTGACGACCAGAATGTCTTGTGATAATGAAATATTGTGTGCAAATATCAGTGCGCTTTGTGCAACTCTGGTTACATTCAGAATAGTCAAGGTTCATTCATATCCAAATCTGTACAAAAGAAGAATGATAGACGAATGAAGTTTCTTACAAGCAAACTGTTAGTCGGGTGATAAAAAGTACTCCATTACCTCTGCAAGAATTATATGCTCACTTTTTTTAAAGTAACAAAGACTTACGGTACTGTAAATCAACAAATGTGTGTGTGTGTGTGTGTGTGTGTGTGTGGTGACTAATACAAGTACAGTACTGTATTACAAATAAATAAATAAATAAATTATAATCAAAGCATCAAATTACATTTTTCTAAGGCAAACAAAAAGAGGTGGAGCAGTAAAATCACCAAATATGAAAAAAAAAAATAATAATACTGTAACAAATATTCTACTGTATGCCTATTCAACATTCCATGTAAGAAACTTCAAATTCATTTAGCATCCAATAATTCCCAGATAGACTCACACTTCATATATCTTTTTATTTTACAAACTAGAAGTAGTGTTAGAGGTGGCTGCTAGGGCAACCGGTAGAGTCAGTCCACATACATCCCTGGGGAGGGGTACAGGTAGGCACCGTTGTGTCTCACACGCTTGAGCAACAACACATGTCTTGCTGGCATCTATACTCAAGTATCTGGTTAGGTTTTTAGAGCCCATAGTTCGTACAGACAACTAATACTTGATGTAATACAAATTACAGCCACAGCATAACTCATGAATACACTCACTTATATATTTGAAACTTACTGAAGTGGTATTATGCATAACGTACATATCATATTAGTACATAATAACAAATTAATCATTATGTAGCATCTTGTTCTCACCAATACCTATTTACATTAATAATTACAAAGTGAATGTTACAAATGTCTGAATAAGTCTAAATAACTTTTGGTCATTATCAAAATATATAGAGCATAATATTTTACAGCTAAATTATCCAAGCCAATGTGTAGTAAGAAACATGAAAATAGAAAATCCTTACCCAACAAAATGCTTGAGTCTATATGCTGGAGTTTCACATATACCTGGCCAACTGTTTGACAGACCAACGTATTGGCAACTGCTTGAAGAAGTTAAATAATACATTATCCCACATCTAGTTTACAGAAATATATCTTTTTTCATATATCCAGTGTTTATGCTCAAGCAGTAACCTAAAATTTTGAATGCACATTTGTACAGTATTTGACTCTAAGGACTGAAGCTTTATCTTAAAGAAATGTCTAGACATTTGATTTTTTGATGCTCATATAATCTGTAAGCCAGATAATGCAAAACCCATAATGTGTTTCACACCCAAACCAAATTAGAGTGTAGAGGTACTGACTGACTTGAAACAAGTTTTTTTTTTTTAACCTTCCAATGAAAGGAAAATGTTTTAGTCAGATAAAAAGTTTAAATATCTAATATCTTGGAACAGACAGATTTACAGGGTTATGAACAATATATTATGTCATCATGTGCATCAATAACGTTATCCCAGTATACGTTGTGTTGAATGCATTATCACAGTTTCAATAGCAATTAGTGTATTGTACACGAAAATGTGCAAAAAAGGTGAGCTACTGTGCATATTACGGGACACACCTGCGTCAAGGATCAAAATGAAGCTAGAAAGTGTGGCTCAGGAACTGGTGTATATGTGTGTTGAGAAGTGAGCGTCTATTTCACTTACATCATGTATTTCACTTACAAAACTAAGGAATAATTGCCTTAATGTAGCTGTTTGCCAGTCTCAAAAATATTATTTACGTAAAGGTATAGAAATGTATATTAAAGATACCTATTTCTGGCATTTAAAAGGGTACAGTGGAAATAGAGTTTCATTAAAAATATTTGGCTGTCAATACACTGAAGATCTAACAGTGACACTGAAAAATAAAATAAAGGATAGTTCCCCATGAAGCTAAGGTCTATCATATAAAATATTGTTGTCATTTACTTGCAAATACAGGAAGAAGGTAAAGTACAGAAAATGTACAAAAATGCCTCACGATTATAGCATAAACGGCAAAGACATCTGAGATAATTAGTGATTATGGGAGGAAAAAGACAAGGGAAACAATGACCGAGAGAAATAACAAATAGTGATCTTTAATGGATAGTAATAAAAACGATGTCGGAACTTGTGTCGCACCATCAAGTGGGATTATATGGTGAATGTAAGTAATGATAACAACATTCGGTAGGAGAAAACAGTGTCTAGACCTTCAAGGTTGACCAAAGAGAAACAATATGACAATATATTATCTTCAATGACAAATTAATACCATAGGATATCACTGCAAATCAATGATGAGTAATCCACGAGCATAAAATTTTTAAATTACTTAGACATTTCATATGACTAAGTTTTCGTTCCCTACGAATTCAAAGATAAGAATATATATCTATTTGTTTGTAGTAAAGATATTACAAAATATGAAAGTGAGGCTTTAAAATCTGTCATTGACTTCAACTTAATAGAAAGTAATGAATACCCCTTTAATTTAATTTTCAGAATGGCAAACAGCTATTACGTAATATGTAGTCACTTTTCTGAACACAAGATACAACCAGCCTAAGTCTGTTGCATTCATAAATAAGAGAACTGTACTGTAAAATGTTCATGGCAATATCTCTCGTCAGGCATAACTAAAGCTCTGTACAAAGGCCATATACTAAATTCATGCTTAATTTAACTATCATGTTATGGTGATTTTAAACTTTTTTGCTGTCAATTATGTCATACTGCTATTTAACACTTAAATTTACAGGGATTTCTATAAATTATAAATCAAACATGTTATTTAATTCTGGCCCAAAGCATTAACATTGATAAAGTCTGTTATATTGAGCATTATCATAATTTTGTCTGTTTTTTTATATTTATTTTTACAGCAATTGTCTACAATCAATATTCAATGCTCAACATAGCATATATTCTCAAGAATATAAAATTATTCAGAAATCCTAATGCTGCTGCACCTACATCCAAAGTATTTCATTGTTCATTTGAAGGAAGTCTACATATTACAGCCACTTTAAGATCTGCACCTAATACTAATTCTATATATATCTACACTTCTATACTATTTCTTCAAAAGTTTTATATCTACAATCCTAAAGCTATGTCTAGCATACCCCTCTTCTATTACATGGTAGTTAATTCATGAAATTAGCTAAGTGACCTTGGCACACAATAGTGAGTCTTTTCAGGGCAATGGGCAGCGAGTGTACTCTATGAACTCACACAAAATTACAGTATACTGTACCATGGTACAGGTACAGTATACATAAACTGTGATAAAGAAAACTGAACTGAAACTGGATATTTTCTTTTTTCATGATGCAACCATGGTATAAAACATAAAGATACCCTTTAAAAAAAACTATAAATATCTAACTATTACCTTGCACCTCAAGATATTTCTTTTATGCATACCTGTTCTCTCATGCTTATTCCATGATTTATTAAAGTAAATAATGAAATATACATAGAGATATATGCAGATACATATCTAATAGCCTGGTTAATGCAAATCTGGTGAACAAATTTTTTTGTGAACCAAGACATTGTGTCAAACAAGAGAAAAGGAATCTGCCATACAGTCACAGATTATTTGCCACATTGCCAGGAACTTTTCCATCATCAGCCTCCTTTCTTTTCGCTGATTATCGTATATTGGTGACTGCTACTGAAAAATTTACTCCTAGGCTCCATTGTCATGAAACTGAGCACGTGTGTTGTATTTCCTTGAATATCGCTAAATACTTTCATATATAATATCTGTCTATAAACCAAGCATTTTTTCCCCATCACTTTTATAAAATAAAATAGCCACACACATATTCTCTCCACCTATTTCAAGAGAAACTGAACACAAACCCTCTCACCAGTACAGTACATACATCACTGCATTTCCACAGCACGCCAGAGTGATTAGATTAGAACTTGTAAAAGTATAACAATATATTTTTGTGTGAATTAAGAGAGCACATCTCATAAAGTAACAAATTACATCATTATACACTGTAATCACAACTGGTAACCAAAATGAATGTTTAAGCTACTTTTTGTTTGATATGAATTTTTCTTTACAGTAAATACATGACCTTACATCTTTTAGAAATTGAAATGATATACCTGAAGAAAAATGGCATTAACTTTGATTTTCTTTCAATAAGTTCTCATGGCCATGACAATGAGAAGAAAAAGTAATTACTAGTACAGCACTTTCTTTGTACCCCTGAGCCACTTCCTGAAGAAATGGTTTAAATAGCCACTGCTTAACTGAGCATTAACAAATGAAGTCTGCCTGTGCTAGTCCTATATGTGGTAGGCTGCAGACCGCAGACAAATTATGTACAATATTTTACCTTAGCAGCACTTCTCTTGGTATTTAAATTTATTGATTGTTTTAACTAATCCTATTACAGGTAGTTTATTCTATATGCTATTCACATCTGATTCTCTACGTTTATCCCCACAATGAGAATTTTAATAATCTTGATGCTACTCTACTAAATCTGATAATTCATCTGCAAAGAATATTAGAGTAAGTGAACCGTTGCATACTTTTTGGTTACTCAGTACAGTACAAACATTCAAAACCTGAAACTGTATATGTAATTTATTTGACACTCATAATTGAACATCATTTCATACAAGAACTTCACAAATAAAGTACTGTACTCAAACACCATAAAAATGAATTCACTCTGACCTCTGCATTCATTTGATAAACAAACATATAAATATCATCTGAACTAGCTTGATTCTTGTTTGAAAATATTTGTATTAGTATCAAGCTTTGTTAGATTTTTGCAGAAAAAATTTACAAATGCAAGTATATTTGATCTTGTCTTGCTTCAAGCTAAATCCCTGGGCCATGTACCAATGTCCAGTTTGTGCTTGAAAGGGCAAAAGGATATGTATGATACTATCTTGTATAACCTATTTTGGTGAAGGGAGATTGGGTGGTGACTAAACCAACTTCCTGATCTCTCGGGCTGCTTGAATTACTGAAGTAGGGTAGTTACGGAGTTCCTGTGCTAACCGAACACCTCCAACGGAGAATATAGATTGATCTGTAAGAGAAATAAGTTTTATTAATCATAGTCGCCCAGTATAATATTAGCTATCAAAATACTTTCTACTGTATTTATAATTACCATTTGCTAAAATAATATGCTGTACCTGTATGCAGTTCAGTATACTATACAGTATAGTGTATATTTAAACATCAGAAGGTTTAAATGTCTTCAATGGTTGATTATCCAGTAATGGGAAATACCATAAGAATGGAACTAAGGCATACACGAATTGATTAATTTGCAATTGAAAACAGATAAAATTATTTCAAGGGTTATTAATTAATATCAATTACCCAAATTAGAATTTCCTGAATCCAAATATTAATCAATGTTCCAAATGTAACAAAAATTTTAAAATTTCAAGCTGCAGAAATGAGCTGCCTGAGGGCTGCACCTGGGGTTAACAGTATGGATGGGGTAAAACATGGTGAAGTGTATAGGATGTTTGGAATGGATGAAATGGTGGAGTATTAACTGTAGAGTGGTGGCCTGAGTGAGGAGAGTTCTCTGAGATGGAAAGGATATGTGAGGAAGATGCCAAAAGGACAAAGTGAAAAAAATTGGTGTAGTGATCTGAGGGAAACAGACTACATTATAAGAGGGAAAGTTGGAATAACACAATAAGGAAAGAATGAGATAGAGAATAATGATAACAAAGAGGGCAAATGAGATATGTGATAGGGCAGCATAAAGGATCTGTCATGACCACCCCGTGAAAAGGAGGCTTCTTAGGGGAGCCAAGTATTGTACATATCATTACAGTGTTTTGGATGTGTTCTGAAAGGATTACTGAACTAACGGTGTGTTCTCAAAGGATCACTGAACTATTGGTGTGTTCTCAAGGGATTACTGAACTATTGGTGTGTTCTCAAAGGATCACTGAACTAACGGTGTGTTCTCAAAGGATCACTGAACTATTGGTGTGTTCTCAAAGGATTACTGAACTATTGGTGTGTTCTCAAAGGATCACTGAACTAACGGTGTGTTCTCAAAGGATCACTGAACTATTGGTGTGTTCTCAAAGGATTACTAAACTACTGGTGTGTTCTCAAAGGATTACTGAACTAATGATGTGTTCTCAAAGGATTACTGAACTATTGGTGTGTTCTCAAAGGATTACTGAACTACTGGTGTGTTCTCAAAGGATTACTGAACTACTGGTGTGTTCTCAAAGGATTACTGAACTACTGGTGTGTTCTCAAAGGATTACTGAACTACTGGTGTGTTCTCAAAGGATTACTGAACTACTGGTGTGTTCTCAAAGGATTACTAAGCTACTGGTGTGTTCTCAAAGGATTACTGAACTACTGGTGTGTTCTCAAAGGATTACTGAACTACAGGTGTATTTGTATTTCTTTTGTGGAACTTGGACCACAAGAGGAATATAACAATGAGTGTGTTTGGTGGGTCAGCAACCAGCATAAACAAAATCCTAACACAGGGAAGCTATAGGTCTAAAAAGTAATTAACAATATACCTGATTCAAGGAACAATATAGTACACTTAATAGCATTCGGCACAAGATAATAATTTATACTTAAAACATAATCTTATTCCAAAAAACAAAAGTCAACATCTTACCAGCATCTAGCTCATATATTTGTGAGGGTAAGTCAGCGAAATAGCTGTGTCTGAGAGCTGTCTCTGATGAGATCCTCTTTTTGGGCTGAATCTGTAAATTTAAAAATAAATGAAACCTCATATAATCGCTGTATTGGTTCCCACCCAATCTGTAAGGGTTACATTCTTACATACCCTGTGGATTTTAAATATAGTATTGTGGATTTTAAATAGATTGGGTCTACAGTGAAAATGGGGATATGTTTCAGTCCCAAAATATCTTAAAATTCATGTAAATCCCAACTAAATTTTTCACTTGATATTTTAAGTACACACTCCCGAAAAGGAAAATCTGATTTGTGATTTAGAAACGTGGCATAAAAAGAACAAAAACCTATTTACTGACCAGGGGGCCAGAGAAGAGGTGGTGGGGAAGAGAAGCCAGGAGAGCACAGCAATACAAATGACAGTATAATACTGTATTCCAAAAACAATTCTCAGTAATACAGTACTGTACAGTATATCAATAATGTGTAGTATGAATTATCTATATAGTTAAAATTCATAAATCCACAGTGGATAGCTGGGGTAGATATACAGTATATACGGTACTGTACCGACTAGTGGACACCCCGGAGACCTACAAGTGACTTCCACCATCTATACCCCATACTACATTGGCAACACTGGGGGTAGGGACCCACTCTACCATACAACCCTGCTAATGTCCACCCTCACACTCAGCCTAACGACACACCCTGCTGCGACAGTGAAGCACACACGAGAAGCAAACACTAAGCTAACTCCCCTCATACTCTGACTCAAAGCCAGAAATAGATCCAGAGTAAGAATCTGTCAATTAGGAAGGGGAAAAAGGATCAGGTTCTGAGGGCACGACACATAACAAACCACATCACCAACATTTGAAAGTCTAGTGAACTCAGGAGGACCTAAAGCAGGAAGAGGCAAAAAAAAGAAGAAGTATTTCTGGACTGTCTTATCAAAAGCATTTTTACAGTACTGTACTTTACACTGAAAATCACAACAAAGGTCTTATCTATGGTGAAAAAAACAGCACTAGTGACAATCTGAGAGAGTGAAAACTTCAAGTTTTCCTGCTGATAAAAATCCATTAAAGAATTAATTTAAATGCTTGTTTTAATGTAGAAATAAAAAACTTTTGCTGCAAAGTACATATCCAATCTGAATTACTGCAGATATAATAATTGATATGTATCGTATTTAACATAAAGTTTCATCACTAATAATACTGTTGACTTCTATACTTCTGGGATGCCACTCACCTGTAGGAACTGTGTAGCTAAGGACTCAGCATTAGGAATGTCATTGAGTCTAGAAAAGAGAGAGGCCAGTCTACGAGGACGATGGAGAACAAGGCGATGTGGCTTGTAGTTTGGCAACTGCGTGACTCCAGGCCACGTCTCTTCAGTGGGTGTTCCAACAACCTGTAAATTGGCAGATTTTACCATTTCATATAAATACTATAACTTGATTACATTTGTTGTTTGAAGTTCAGTACATAATTAACGTAAACCATTTCACAATGGGTTTGACTCTTCAATCTAATCTACTACACTAATGTGTTTTCTGTTTGAAGTTAAATTCAATAATGTATAATTTCGCTTTTTCATGGCTTTACTTTGTAATAAACCTTGAGCATTTGTGGGAGACAACCTATAGCACTTTATTTCATGCATTTTCAAAATTATAATTACTATCAAACATAAATATCAAATAAAAAATTATGGAAAAAATATGAGGAATCACCACTATTAATTAATGTAAGCTCAGGCAATTTAAAACAAACCAACCCTCAACGAAGTCAGATTTTACCTAGAATGAACCACAGGGTGTGGGCATTCAAGCCTTACGCTGGACGACACTGATTTTAGCAGTGCTCATTGGTCCATTATCGCTAAAATCAAATGTACTTCAGATACAGTAGTTTATTTAAATTCACTGCAAGACAACGAATATGCAGAGGCAGAGGTGTGAGGGGCAAATTAAAAGCAAAAGAACACATCAGAACAAATAAAAGTGACTGGAAAAAATTAGCTTCAATAAGAGATGAAAAAAGACAATACAACTATAGTATAGTACTGTACTACCATATTATCGAGTTAAAACTCTCAAATAGTAATAAGTCCTCACTCTTTTAACTAGGCTAGGGAATTCATGTAGTTTCCATCACAATGACATATTAGATTTTAAGTGTTACTATTCTTTTCAAAGTCAATCATATCAATGTTAACTTTACCCAAAATTATGTTAATACACAATTTTAACATTTTATCTTACACACCTTAAAATTATTACTAATGTATCTTAAAATATTACAAACACACTTTAAAAATCTTACTGACGCATCTTAAAAATCTTATTGACACACCGTAAAATTCTTATTGACTCACCTTAAAAATTTTATCGAGTTGGTCCTGTATATCTCTGACCCCCGGGAAGGCAGGCACCCCAGTGATCATTTCTGTGTAAATGCAGCCGACTCCCCACATATCCAGGGAAGTGGAGTAGTCAGTGGAGCCTAGAAGGACATCTGGCGGCCGGTACCATAATGTCACCACCTCATGTGAGTACGTGTGGGACGGTACAGATTTGGCTCGCGCTAAACCTGTGAAAAGTTGTACGGTTATTCCCTGTGTGTGGTATGGCATAAATTTAGCATTATTCTCCATGTGATAGTTTTTAAAAGTTAATTTATAGTGGATAGGGTAAAAATATATAGTCCTTGGCTCATATCGACTTAATGTTTACTATGCTTGGTAATACAGTAGTCTAGATAAGTGGAGGAAACAAATTTTCTCATAAACAATTTGTGAATTTGTAAGTTGATTTTATTGAATTAATACCAATTAATCTATCAATATAACTATCTATAAATGTATCTTCAGTATCTAACTATAAATCTATCTACAGTATATATCTATCTACAGTATCTATTTATCTATCAAACATATTACCATAAGTATTAGGGTTAAGACCAAATGCTTACCGAAATCTGCTATCTTGAGTTCACCGATTTCTGATATAAGTAGATTTTGTGGTTTGATATCTCTATGAAGGATCCGTCGACGGTGGCAGTAGGAGAGGCCCCGCAGGAGTTGGAAGAGGAGCAGCTTCACATTACGAGGATGGAGACCTCCCCCATGTTTCTCAAGATACTGTGAGAGGTCTGTGTGCTGTTGGGAAAAAGAGCAACGAGTCCATAAAATTGTGTTGTGTCTTGTCGTCCAATGCAACAACCAAGACGCTGACCCTGAGCGCACTCTCACATCCACAAAAAAATTAAAATTACACTATGCCGCTTCATGAGAGTTGCTTCTATTGGTACGACATATCAATGTATGTTCTTTCTGTTTAAAAAGCTGGGGGTCTGAGGGGCTCCGGCTAAGAAGTTACGTAAGGTTAGGTAGGTTTCTCTGGTTAGGTTGGTGGGATCAGGTTCTATTAGGTTCTGTGCATTGTCGTATCATTTTTATTACTTACTATCATCCAAAGAACACCTGTGGAAAAAAAAATAACAACATCGAACAACTCCTTCTGGTGTTAGCCGTCTGCTCCACCATTACTGTACTATTAAATAATAAATTATCCCATTGATGGAATACTCTTTCCTACCTATGTCCGTATTGTAAACTGTCTACGGTAGTACATCATACAATATTATATACCTATACAATGTACTGTGCACATGCATAATTAATGTAAACTTGTATGATGATTTTACTGAATAAATATCTATCTATTATCACCATTTCTCATTATAATCATTCTACCGAGTGATGATATACAGTACAGTAATCCTATTGAGAATTTTTTTTTTTAATTCCTCACATTATCTTCACACCTTCCAGAGAGGACGTGTGTACAAGACATACTTACCACATACTCGAAGACAAATGTGAGTGTCTCTTTAGTGTGGATGATATCATGAAGGGTGACGATGTTGGCGTGTTTGAGTTGTTTCAAGAGCGAGGCTTCCCTGATGGCGGTGAAGGGGGCGCCCTCCTCCTCCTGTAGGCGAATTTCCTTCAACGCCACCACCTGGTTCGTGAGGCTGGAGGGAGAAATTAAAGAGATAATTACTAGACTGAATGAAAGGAATAAAACATGATTAATATACTTGAAAGTAAGATACGTATATAAGAATAATATTAAGGGATGAGGAGACGAGATAAATATGAATTAAAATGATATACAGAGGAAGAAAAATCAAAAGATGAGAAGGAATATGGAAAGAGAATAAGAAAGGATGTACATAAATGGTAACAGGAATGACTACAGATTAATATAAAACGTAGATAAAAAAGACACAATATGAATGGTTCTTAAATGCAATATTGACAGTACAGCCACCAATTACAATGGCAGCCAGCATTACAACCATTGATACCAACAGAACAACTATGGTTTGGCGTATTATGTCTTTTAAATTGTATAACAGCTATTTGCAATCGGGGTCTGCTACAATTAACATATTTTGTTAATGAATTCCAGCAAAAATTCAATTATAAAACATGGTAATTAATGGTCACCGTCATTAGGGCGACATTCCAGCATGAAAATTCCTTGTTCAGGTTACCATATGTATTTGTTTTGCCCCCAAATGAAATGCACACACACACACACACACACACACACAATCCAGACCGGAAATTAAAAAAATCAAATACAGCGGTACAGTACTTACAAAGATAAAAGTACTGTACTATAAAACACGAGGCTACTGTCGCCTGTGTTACCCCTACGACCTGACTGAGTTTTCCCTAACACTTATATTTCAAGGGTAAAATAAAATCCCACGTAATCCTCAAAGGCGAAGTTTATTCTCAAGTTCTGATTAAATATTTGCTGCCACCTTGTTTACCTCAGAGGGCCGCCATTACAAGTTTACAACCAGTGTCCACAACCACGAGAAAAACACCACCACCACGTACAACACTACAACACTGCTTTTACTATTATAAACACATAACATTTAATAACACCACCCACCAACTGTTGAAACTATTGGCACCATCAACAGCGTCAGCCACCACACCACACTGCCACAACCTCTACGACACCACACCAAGCCACCACAGGGAGGGAGGGATTAAGCGAGATCCTATCCTGTCTTCATACACTCCTGCAAGATTATTTTCTAGTCTGTATTAACTCCTACAGGATATCTGGTGCAGCAGAAGTCTGGGGTCAGTAGTACAGTCCTCAAGGGTCACGATGACGTCAGTTTAAGGTCACAGTAGGTCATACATACATACATACTTGACCATCCTCTCCCCCTTCCCTCCATATGCCCTCCAAAATTGACCCTCCCTTCCCCCCTTCCCTCCAACATTGACCCTCCCTTACCCCCTTCCCTCCAACATTGACCCTCCCTTCCCTTATTTTCTCCATCAACTCTCCCAATTCCCTTCCCCAACACCCCTCCCTGTACCCCCCCCTTCCCTCAACAGTGACCCTCCCTTCCCCCTTCCCTCCAACAGTGACCCTCCACCCACCCCTTCCTCAACAGTAGGCCTCCCTTCCTTCCTCAACATTGACCCTCCTTCACCAACATTGACCCTCCCTTACCCCCTTCCCTCCAACATTGACCCTCCCTTCCCTTATTTTCTCCATCAACTCTCCCAATTCCCTTCCCCAACACCCCTCCCTGTACCAAAAACTCTCCTCCAACACCTCCCTTCACCGATACTCCACTGAATCCTTCCCAAAAACTCCATCAATATACATTTATGTCCCCTCCATCTCACCCCCCAACACCTTCATGTCTCCTCCATCAACAATTCTCCATGACTCATCCACCAACGAGGAGGAGAGCAGGAAGAGGAGAAAGAGGGAGAAGAGGAAAAATAGTACGAGGAGGGAAGAGAGAAGGGAGAGGAGTAAGGGGGTAGAGAAAGAAGAGTACGAGGAGGAAGGAAGAGGAAGAGAGGGAAAAGAAGAGGAAGAGGAGGAGCAGGGGAGGGCGTCACATCATGAGCAGGAGTGTCTTAAATAACGCATCACGCGGGGGACTGACAGAGTAAATTGGGTGTAAAAGTAATCAAAGTCTCACCATTAATCAGGCGAGTCTCGACAAGCCCGCCCGGGAGTGTTTATATGACGTGCCTCGCCCCCGTGTGTCTGTCTGTCTGTTTGTCCTCCCTCCCCCCCCCCCTTTGCCTCCCTCCGTCCCCTCGCCTCCGCCTGTCCTCCTCCCTCTCCTCTCACAAGTCCTCCTACAAACACTTTTCGTTACTTGTTTCTGTTTTCTCGTTTGGAGTAAAGCTAAAAGTTGTTTTGGTCGTGTTTGTAAAGGTCTCTCTCTCTCTCTCTCTCTCTCTCTCTCTCTCTCTCTCTCTCATTCTATTCAATTTCTTTACCTTTTCTTCTTTCTCTCACTTTTTATTTCGTTAAGTTTGGAGTCTATTTATCGACTTGATTTTTTTTAGAGTAGACAGACAACTCCTTTAATAACAAGTCAGGTTCTTTCTTCCCTCTAGTCGACTTCATCACGATACAATTACCCCCGAGAAATGATCCCGTTCGTGTACACACTGGTTGGTGAGGGCTGAGAGGAGTCACAGCCTATAACTTGACCAAACTCTTAACACTTTCTACCTGTCGTCTGTGTGTCGGAAACCTGGATTAATGTTTTATTTTGATGGCTTCTAAAGTTTTGTTTTAGCTGCAATATAGTACGTGTTTTTGTTTGTTTTTTCTTTACCTTGAATTATATTAGGACTGACTTTGTGTGAGTGTTTTAATATGAGGTGTACGAAGTTTAATTTAATTTTATTCTATTTTATGATTGTGAAATTAGTTGAGCCCCCAAGTCACCACACTCACTAAGGTTACTGTAGCTCTGTTAAGGTCGTGACCACAGCCAACACATCCAGGAAAAACACCTCAAGTAAATGTCTCGAGGAACACGTTTCGAACATCTGTCATAGGAAGTACGTGGACAGAGTGGAATTACTGCTTCAAGGAACAAACTTTGAATTACTGTCAGGAGAAACTTGTTTCGAACAACTGTGTCGCGAGAACGTGTTGGGAGGAGTGTCTCTAGGGACGGTGTTCAAGGGGACTTGTCTCCGGGAACAAGCTTCGAGTAAACACCTCGATGGAACATGTTACAAACAACTGTCAGACAGGAACATGTTGGGGCTGATTGTGGGTGTTGGGGGTAAGGTTTAATATACAGTAAATCCCCTCCCCTCCCACCAGCGATGCACCAGTGACTCACAGGAGGCGCTGCAGAGGCACATGTTGCGACGCGACTGCCTCCCTTGGGACTCCTCTTAAGCGTGTCTGGGCGACTGATATCACTTGACATTTTGTCACTTCCTCGCCGCCTCGCCAGATCACAATCTAAATGCTTTCAGCTCAAGCAGAGGGGGAATTGCCTGCCGAGTTTGTATCCACCTCGTAAACCGTGAACCAACACCCTGATTCTCAAACACGCGTATGTAAGGTTCTCTCCTCTTAGGGGGATGAGTCAACACCTCTTAGTTAAGACAATTCGAGCAGTGCGATTTCGACATGATACCGATAGGCTTTTTTGTGTTGCAGCGGAAGAGAAGAAGAAAAAGAGAAGATCCGATATAACCGATTCAATACCGACAACTCTCCAGGAGACGGGCGGCGAGGAGACGAGCCCCACAGTGTTCAGTAAAGGTTCACCAGTTACTGTTAATGTTGCTGGGGAAGTTGTTACGATCTCTGTTATAATGTAAGGGTTTAACACACACACACACACACACACACACACACACACACACACACACACACACACACACACACACACACACACACACACACACACACGCACAAATACACACACACGAGCCCGCATCTTAGAACAAAATAATAAAATACTCACTGACTAAAGAAACTATACGCCACATTACCTGAGGACTGACGCTAAGCTGTGAGGGGAGGAGAGGTGAGGAGTGGAAATGAAGTGAGAGAAGGTGTGAGAGAGAGAGAGAGAGAGAGATCGACCCTATCCCCCCCACCATTACCCCCTGCATCACTTTCTCTCACCCCCCAAAACCTCCCCATTATCTATGTTCCCTACTTTATCTCGCCTCCACGTTGATTTATCAGTATCTAAGTCCTCATCCTTATCCGCCACTCACGCCTCACTGGACCGGGGAGTCAGTGAAAGAGAGACACAACTGAATACGAACCGGGTTTCCTACACGTGTACTGTACTGGTTTATCTATTCATAATCTCACAATACAGGTACAGATAAAGGTATTTCAAAATTTACTACAAAACACTAGTGAGGAAACAAGGTCGGGTTATCCTATCTTGTATTCATGGAAGATAATGATTACTTATTTCACTCACGTCGAAATTTCACCGGCATGTGGCTCCCTAGTCAGCTTTGGTGCCGGGTACGGGTGAAAAATTCCTAAGTGTTGGTTTGATTATTATTTTTTTGTATTTATGTTTTTTGTAACTGTGGTTTTATAACAAGTGAAAGTTAGAGGTTTATTAATGGGAAATGATAGTAATTATACTGTTCAATATATAGAACAACTTTACTTTATTTTAGGCAGAGGGAATATAAATACCACGACACTTACAGCAGACGAGACAAAAAACAAAACAAAAATGGTGTAAAAAAATATTCGCGTGTGGGACAATACACATCTCGATCAAGTACACTAATATTATAACCCGGGAAAACAGTGTGTGTGTGTGTGTGTGTGTGTGTGTGTGTGTGTGTGTGTGTGTAGGGGGGTGGAGCTCTGAAGATGATTAATTAAAACAAATGAAAAGCGTTGTTTGAGATCGACGTCTATAAACACTCATTTTTCCTTTGTTTATCGATACGTTTATACTGATTGGTGGAGGGGCGTGGCTTCGGAGATACCTGTGATGATGATGATGATGATGATGATGATGATGATGATGATGGTGATGATATTATTGATGATGATGATGATGATATTGACGACGATGATGATGACGACGACGATGATGATGATGATGATGATGATGATGATGATGATGATGATGATGATGGTGATGGTGAGACAGAGCCCAAAGACAGTTGTGAGATATTAATGATACCTACCACACCACCACATCACCACCACACCTTCCTCCCCCACCACACCACCACACCTTCCTCCCTACCACCACCACCTTCCTCCCCACCACACCACCACACCTTCCTCCCTACCTGCACTCTACCTGCCTACAGTCCTTCCTCCTACCACACCACCACCTTCCTCCCCTACCACACACCACCACCTTCCTCCCTACCACACACCACCACACCTTCCTCCTACACCACCACACCTTCCCTCCCTACCACACCACCACACACACCTTCCTCCCTACCACACCACCACACCTTCCCTCCCCTACCACACCACCACACCTTCCTCCTACCACCACCACCTTCTCCCTACCACACCACCAGTCCTTCCTCCTACCACACCACACCTTCCTCCCTACCACACCACCACCTTCCCTCCTACACCACCACCTTCCTCCTACACACCACCACCTCCCTACCACCACCACCTTCCTCCCTACCACCACCACACCACCACACCTTCCTCCCCACACCACCACACCTTCCTCCCCTACCACACCACCACACCACCACATCACCACCACACCTTCCTCCCCTACCACACCACCACACCGCCTCAACTCCATCAAACACACGTCACTAACTCACCAGACCTCTGACTTTCCCCGGAGTGACAGGAGTAGTTAACTCTCCGTGAAATGACTCTGCTGTAGTGTGAGTCTCCTCGTCCCCTTAAAGTCTCCAGCAGTTGGGAGGCTTTTATCATATTATTAGTGAAGGATTGAAGGAACGAGTGAAGTAGTGAGGGAAGGAGTGAAGGAAGGATTGAAGGAGTGAAGGAGTAAAGGAAGGAGTGAAGGAATGACGGAAGGAGTGAAGGAGGAAGTGAAGTAGTGAAGGAAGGAGTGAGTGAAGGAGTGAAGGAAAAAATGAAGGATTGAAGGAGTAAAGGAAGGAGTGGAGGAGGAGTGAAGGAAGACGTGGAGGAGTAGTGAAGGAGTACTGAAGGAGGAATGAGAGAGTAGTGAAGGAAGGAGTTACGTAGTGAAGGAGTGAGGAATGAAGTAGTGAAGGAGTGAGGAAGGAGTGAGGAAGGAGTGAAGGAAGGAGTGAAGGAAGGGGTGAAGGAAGGAGAAACACGGTCTGTAAGATGGTTGGTATCAGGTGATTAAGAAAGAGGTGATATGTCTAGATTCTCTCTCTCTCTCTCTCTCTCTCTCTCTCTCTCTCTCTCTCTCTCTCTCTCTCTCTCTCTCTCTCTCTCCGTCCCTTTTTCTCTCTTTTTTTCTATCTCTGTTTCTCTCTCTTTCTGTCTTATATTTACCTCACTCCGTCTCTCTGTCTGTCTCTCTCCCTGTCTCTCTATCTCTCTTTCTCTCCCTCCCTCTGTCTCGTTCGCCCGAAGTAGGAGGGATAATGGGTGTGAAGGAGTAGTAGGAAGAGCAGGAGGAGGAGGAGGAGGAGGAGGAGGAGGAGGAGGAGGAGGGAGGAGGAGGAGGAGGAGGAAGGATGGGTGAGGAAGTGTCAGGGAGAGAAAGAGAGGGAAGAAGGTGTCAGGAGGGGTGGAGGGAGATCCCTTCTCTCTTCCCCCCCCCTCCTCTCCCCTCCTCCCTCCCCCTCACCCTCACCCCTCTCCCTCACCCCCTCCCTCCTCACCTCCTCACCCCTCTCCCTCACCCCTCCACCCTCCCCTTCCTTTCTCTTTATATATATATATATATTTTACCCCAGCAGTACACTAACAGGCAAGGAGCAATTACTGATATATAACTACATCACAAACACATCACATGGGATACAAACAAACAATAACAAACAATTACAAACAAGATAAACAAACACTCACTTGCTGTAGCCCTTGTAGACGGTGGCGTAGGAACCTTCACCCAGCTGATCCAACTTCATGTAGGCTTCCGTCCGCCCGAAAGGTGAGTCCCCCTGATGATGAACACAGAAAACGGGTGTAAGTTATGAGTGGGCGATGATAAGGAGTGAGAGGGCGAAGATAAGGAGTGAGAGGGCGAAGATAAGGAGTGAGAGGGTGAAGATAAAGAGTGAGAGGGCGAAGATAAGGAGTGAGAGGGAGAAGATAAGGCGTGAGAGGGCGAAGATAAGGCGTGAGAGGACGAATATAAGGAATGAGAGGGCGAAGATAAGGAGTGAGAGGGCGAAGATAAGGAGTGAGAGGGCGATGATAAGGAGTGAGAGGGCGAAGATAAGGAGTGAGAGGACGAAGTTAAGGAGTAAGAGGGCGAAGATAAGAAACAAGAATACCAAAGGAAGAAAATAGGAACTAGGAACAAGAAACCAAAAACATATACAGCTATTTACCTTATCACCTATTACGAAGATAACTAACAATATATAACACAATCATTCCTTCCTGTTATCGACGTCTGAGGGACACTGAAAACACGTTAAGGTAGTCAAGTACACTCATATGTTTTTTACAATTAACAAAACTAACATTACAAATACCTGACTGAGAGACATATCAACAGTGAAGGTTAATTGTGTGATTTGGTTTGGTTTGGTTAGGTTAAGTTTGGTTAGGTTAGGTTGTTTGGTTAGGTTTGGTTAAGTTTGGTTTGGTTAGGTTGTTTGGTTAGGTTTGGATACATATATTTTAACAGGTGTATTAAGGTATTTTAATACCTTTTCTAGTATGTAATGACATTTTTATATAACGGATTTATAGCCATATGATCCGTTATATGGGGGGTTTCTCATATAACGGACCCTCAATATAACGAACTTTCCTCCCCACATAGTCCATTAAATAGAGGTTTCACATCTAACGAACCCTCGCTATAACGGACTCTCATATCTAACGAACCCTCAATATAACGAACTTTCCTTTTCACATAGTTTAAATAAAAGATTCACTATATATAAATTCGATATCTTAATGGATAACGAAGTATAGAGACACTGGAAGCGATAAACGTTCCAAGGACACACTGACTCTGGTTGGGAGATAACGAAAGTCAGTGGAACGTCAACCTCCTGAGCGAAATATAGTGACTTTACCTGTACACAAAACCCTCCAAGTTGTATGATTGCTTCTCTAAGTTTCAATTGTTTTCTATATTATACGTATTTTTTTTTATGTTCTTGTTCGTATTTTATTTTTGATATGCCTTATTTTCTCTCTCTATTTCTAATTATTTTTTTCTCTCTCTAAATGTTTTTCTCTTTAATTTCCCCTCTCTCTGTCTTTGAAATTTAAGTAACATATGTCTCTTTTAACCCTGAAATAGGGTCAACACACACACACACACACACACACACTTTTCGTAACACCATCTGTAGGAGTTACTACACTACGTCTGCTGTTCCACACCTCAGCTCACATGACCTACGTGTAAGCATTAATCTGTATGTTCACTGTATGTTCCTTACCTTTTCTAATGAAGGCTTTTGTTAAACCACCAATGTATGTAATAAGTCATTTATGTGTCAATGTATATTTTCAGCCTTCGGGCTGCAGAACTTTCAATCTGTTTATTATTATTATTATTATTATTATTATTATTATTATTATTATTATTATTATTATTATTATTATTATTGTTATTATTATTATTACACACACACACGCCATAAAATCTACGGTAATTTCCCGCCACATTTAACTACCTCATCTTATTAACTATAATATACAATGACAAATATTAGCTTATAATGAAAGATAAAAATATATACTATGATTATGCTAATTAATTAAATCTACCTTATATATACTATTAAACGAATTTTTGTCATACGTGCATCAAAAAATTAACAAAATACACATAAGGACTTTATAAACATTGTAAAACATTCCTGAGTATGAATGTTTAAACCAGGAGCCTCCATGGACGTAATGTTGAAGAATTAAACATACTCCATGGAGGCAAACACAGAGAACAACAACTCCCTCGTCCGTAAACACAGTAAAACGTAAACAATCCACACATGTAAACAATGGGGGTTATAAACACTCCATTGGTACAGCATTGTTTATTTGTTTACTCCAGTATGAACACATTACAACACTAATGAAATATGAAGTGATAGTAAGAGAGGTGATAGTGTACGTGGTTTAGGGTGTACGTGGTTTAGGGTGTACGTGGTTTGGGGTGTACGTGGTTTAGGGCGTACGTTAGGGTGTACGTAGTTTAGGGCGTACGTTAGGGTGTACGTGGTTTAGGGCGTACGTTAGGGTGTACGTGTTGAGGGTGTTAGCACGACCCACCATCACGGTCTTCGCCTTACCCGAGACGCCGCGCCTATAACATGTTCAGTATGTAAATTAAATCTATCTACTACTAACCTCATGAGTACAATGGTAATCCACTGAGTACGATGTCTTAATCCCCTTGAAAACGTTGATCTGTTCCCTTGAGTACGATGTCTTAACCTTGATACAAATAGTTCTCTTGAGTACGATAACTTAATCCTCTTGAGTACTATAACTTAATCCTCTTGAGTACGATAACTTAATCCTCTTGAGTACTATAACTTAATCCTCTTGAGTACGATAACTTAATCCTCTTGAGTACGATAACTTAACTCCTTGACTTAAACCACGTTGTAATCAGGGTTTTTAATTCGTTATATTTATGGACAAACAATAAACAATAAGATAAACAAATGAACAACACAATTTCAACGATTTGGCGGGAAAAAAAATATAATTCTTCCTAGGATATACAACGTCCCTATGATGAACTAATAATTAATCTATACGCTCTAACACCGTCATAGATTTACATGTCATAATAGATTCCTGGGGGGGGGGGGGCTAATTTTACCTGCCTCTTCCATCGGTTAATTAGGGATATTTCTTGTTTTTAACTTAGCCAACTCTTCCCCAATTTAACGTAATTAGAAAATTCCTTTATTAAATTCTAGGACGGGGAGGGTAAAAAGGGCATCATAATTTTTAATTGATTTAATATCTTGAGGGGTGAGGGAGGGAGAAGGGTGAGGTGGGGGAGGGGTGGAGGGTGAGGGGTGGAGGGTGAGGAGGTGGGGGGAGGGGTGGAGGGGTGAGGTGGGGGGAGGGTGAAGAGGGGTGGGGGTGGAGGTGAGGTGGAAGTAGGAGGGTGAGGAGGGGTGCTTGGAGGGTGAGGGAGGGTGGAGAATTGAGGGAGGAGAAGAGGTATAGCGAAATTACTTGCACTGCCCACTGGGGAATATACTGGGGAGAGAGAGAGAGAGAGAGAGAGAGAGAGAGAGAGAGAGAGAGAGAGAGAACACACACACACACCCTCGCACCGCCATAATGTATGCACAGGGGCGGGTGTCTGGGGTAATTCACAAGTTACCGTGCGCCCTCCAGTACAGGTGAGGGTTGCATTCATCACCTCTACCCAACTCCCTCTTCCTTCCACTCACTTCCCTTCCCTCCCTCTCTCCTTCTCCTTCATCTCTACCCTTCCCACCACCCCCCCCCCTCCCAGAGAACTTCCCAGTATCTTGCAGGAATGTAAATTAAGACCATTATCTGCTTTGCATACTAAATTTTCTCTCTAATCTGACAGAGACGCCGTCCCCGTCAACTCACTTAGATGAGACAGTGGGTGTGGTTGACGGGCACTTGAGTTACCCCTCCAACCCCCTCCTCAGACGACCGTTTTCTATGACACGTAAATAAATTGGAGTTGTTTATTTTGATGTTTTGACGTCGTTTACTTCTCACTTCATCTTTCAGGGACATTACAGGATAGTTACAGATATAGAGATGTTATATTGGCAAACGATTACATAGGGCTGGGAATTACAGTGAATTAATAGTGTGTAATAGAACTGACCGACCGCCCGATCTACTAGTCAGCTGATAAATAGCAAAGTGTATAAATAGTATACATATATAAATAAATATACCATAATGCCACTTAATAGCTTCTAAGGATAGCACATACACAAAGCCTTAAGGATCACCTGAACATTAGACCCCCCAGTTTATTTCACCTGATGATTAAACACACTGGGCCATCGCTACCTGGGGGGATAAGAGTTAGGGCTTTAAGGTAGCTAAGATGGTGGATAATCTTCAGTTGATCTAGGTTTCGATACTTCGCATTTATATTTCACTGATAAAAGAGAGAGAGAGAGAGAGAGAGAGAGAGAGAGAGAGAGAGAGAGAGAGAGAGAGAGAGAGTAAACACACCAGGAATAAATGTTTCGATCACCACAAACCGAGCACAAGAGTCGAACCCTCAAAACAACGTGAAGCCTCGACCCCAAAAAGTAAGGAAGAGTAGAAGGAAAAAAAAAACGAGGAAGGATAAGAGGAGGAGGAAAATGAGGATAGAAAAGAAGGGGAGGAAAAGGAGGAAGCGGGAACAAAAGCAGGAGCATGAACAACAACAACAACAACATGAAAACACAACAGTGGAGTCACCTTCGCCATCAACCAGCAGTGAAACACGACACCACAAAACTATCCCCCTCCCCTCCTTCTTCTCTTCTCCCCCTCCCTCTCTCGTCTCTCTCTCTACCTCCCCCTTCTCTTTCCCTCCCACCCTCTCACCCCAAAACCTCCCTCCATCCCTCACGACCACCCCAGAGGACGAGGAGGGGATGTGTGTGTGTGTCTGGTGTGAAGGGACTTAGTGGCCGAGCTCCTGTGATGTCTTGTCGCTGCTAATAAACGATAACATAAAGACATGATCAAAGATACATTCCTACTTCAGTCCCTTCCATCCTACTGCTTCACAGACTACTGATGAAGGGAGGAGGAGGGAGAGGGAGAGGAGAGGGGTGGGGAGGGTGGGGGTGAGGGGCAGAGATGAGGAGGAGGAAGGGAGAAAAAAAGTGGGTAGGAGAGAGAGAGAGAGAGAGAGAGAGAGAGAGAGAGAGAGAGAGAGAGAGAGAGAGAGAGAGGTGAAGAAGGAACACGTGAAAAGGACGACTGAATGAGGGGAAGTGAATAGGGGAAAGGAGAAGTG